TATATCTGTAAGTGCATTTTAAATTGCCCGACAGAAAGAATCCTGTCACTGATATGTATGAATCCTAGACTTTATAGACATTGCTGAAATTTTCTCAAGTTCCACACTCACATAGACACAGAGATTGACGCATTGTAAGAGAGACAGAAGAAAGTTGATATATATTAAATATATGAACAATATATTTGTTAATTTTCCTTTTTTGGACGGTGATATTCCTTTGGCACCATCTTACGGTGCTTATATATATCACAGCTCGTTCGCTATGCCCGTGTCTGTTGTGACATTTTGGATTTCATTGAACGTAATTTATGTATTACTGGTAAATTATTAAGTCAGAGATTTTGTAACCACAAATTACTTAAAATCTTTACCTAATTCTTCCATAGATATAAAGATTTGGTTTTGAAGTTTGGTTGTACCTGTAGAAAACTTATTTCAAACGGGATAACACATCCTCATTTTACGGAGATGTTGTTTACCGAGCCCGGAAATTTAAAACGATCCGGGTAAACTTATCGACCCTTTAAATAAACGTATTCGAAAAGGTTACCAATTCAACACTGTAATTAGATCTTTAAATATTGTTTTTATTGGTATTAATGTTGATGTTGTTATCAGTAAATTTAAACCAAACTAAATATTATTTTTATACACATATGCACATTCATGGCTCTACAATCTGTCGATACCTGTATCTTGGCATTCCACAAGGTCATATTTTTCTCTGGCTGTTTATGACGTCTTTCACTAAATCCATTGGATGTTGGATGTGTTCTGATTGATATTTTAGTCTTAGATGCATGACTTTTTTTATTAGTTGTTATTGGCTTTAAACTAGCTTTCAGTAACTGCGAGTACTCTCTGTCTTTTTGTTTTGGGAAATATATGTACCCATCCACATCCACTCTGTGTTTTTGTAAGATGTATTTCTATTTGTATCCATCTGATGAGTTAAGCCTTTTTCAACTGATTTTTATAGTTTGTTCTTATGTTGTACTGTTACACTACTGTCCCAGGTTAGGGGAGGGTTAGTGCCTTCAAAATAGTTTAACCCCGCAACATTCTGGATGTGCCTGTCCAAGTCAGGAGCCTGTGACTTAGTGGTTGTCGTTTGTTGCTTTGTAACATATCTGTATTTCGTTCATTATTTTGTACATAAATAAGGCCGTTATGTTTCTCGTTTGATTTGTTTTACATTTGTCATTTCGGGGCCTTTTACAGCTGACTATGCGTTATGGGCTTTGCTCATTGTTGAAGTCCGTACGGTGACCTATAGTTGTTAACTTCTTTGTCATTTGGTCTCTTGTGGAGAGTTGTCTAATTTACAATCATACCACATCCTCTTTTTATATATATGAATTAACCGTGTTATACATGTAGGCCAAATACATGGTCTTTATTTTATATTTTTTAGTATTTATTTATAATGTAAACTGAAAAACGTTGTCTCTATTTTTGTGAACAAATACATGTAGCTGAGGAATATGTCACTTGCACTTGAGTCTATTGTACACGTGTTTATTTAATTTAAGTATATATAAATAAGAAGATGTGGTATAAGTGCCTATGAGACAACTCTCAATCCAAGTCACAATGTGTATAAAGTAAACAATTATAGGTTAAAGTACGGCCTTCAACACGGAGTTTTGGCTCACACCCAACAGCAAGCTATAAAGGGCCCCAAAATGACTAGTGTAAACAATTCAAGCAGGAAAACCAACATCTAATCTATATAAAAAAAAATGAGAAACGAGAAACACTTATGCACCACATCAACAAACGACAACCACCGATGAATAGGCTCCTGACTTAGGACAGGTGCATACAAACAGGCGCCAACCTTCAACCTAACCTGAAACAGTAGTGTAACATTACAATATAAAAAGACACACTATAAAATGTCAATTGAGATGACACAATATAAATACAATATTACAAATGTCAAACAATGTCAAAAAGACAACTATAACCTAGAAAAAAATGGCGTTAAATAAAATAACGTACACAGGTAAATTTAAATATAATATTTTTGTTGTTAGGAGTACGGAAATATTTTTTGCAAAATAAATAAATTTGTTGTTCACAGTACGAGTACAAAAGTGAAAATTTATCGTCATACTACATACTTATCAAAGGTGGTACATATAAAAAAAATAGTGAGACGAGATATAACACAAAATAAGTAAACATTGAATAACAAAATTGCATTACAAATTGTTTCAACAAGTCAATTAAAATTTACTAAAAGCTAGTTAAAAGCCAAAAACAATTAATAATAAAAATCCTGCATCAGAGACTAAAATCAATTAAAACACATCCCAGGGATTTAGGTTTTTAACGCCATGGACAGTCAAAGAAGACAGTAGTTGTCGTCTGTTTATGTAGTTCATACGTGTTTCTCGTTTCTCGTTTTTCTATAGATTAGACCGTTGGTTTTCCCGTTTGAATGGTTTTACACTAGTAATTTTTGGGGCCCTTTATAGCTTGCTGTTCGGTGTGAGCCAAGGCTCCGTGTTGAAGGCCGTACCTTGACCTATAATGGTTTACTTTTATAAATTGTAAATTGGATGGAGAGTTGTCTCATTGGCACTCATACCACATCTTCCTATATGTATGACTTGTGCACTGCCAAAATTAAAGTATCGACAGGCAGTAGGATAGTTAGAATTTAACCTTTTAGAAATATGCATGATATGCATGATAAAATATAAGACACAATTTGTAAACTGCATTATTACATGTATCATTTTCTGGTCATGCAAACGTTTGGAAAAATAACCTCAACTTGTAAATTAGTTGAAACAAAATGATTACTCTACATTTTAAAATCTATAACATACATTTACATGCACAATGTACAGTATGGCAAGGCGAAGATTTTTATAATACATCTGTATTTCTAATTCCAAATGCTGATAAGTGTATCTCTTCTGCAACAATGATTGGTAACGAGCTGTTCATAAGTCTTAAATATTTAAAAAAAATGTTTATCATCATCCTCTCTTCTGTAAACCCAATCCCAGACCCTGATACATGTCTTGGATAATTTTAATTTTAAAACACAAAATTACCATTATTTATTCAATATATCTTATTAAATGATAATACAATAATAGGTATTCGTTGGTAGAAGTAGAAGTTAGTAGAAGTACGAGTTGGTAAAAGTACGAGTTGGTTGAGTACGAGTTGACGACGGTACCAGTTGTCGGGTATCCATAGAAACAACAACATTTACAACATTATGATTCCTTTGAAAAACTCACATCAAATCAACACTATAGCATGATAATGTATCTGGTATTAAGCTTCCATCACACGGGTCTTTTCACCTAAGGTGCAGATCCAGGATTTTGAAAGTGGGGGTTCCACTGCCAAGCCACCGTTTGGATTGTTACTTGTACAAAAGTCTATTCATTTATCTATGTGTAGCTCAATCAGGGGGTTGGATTCCTTGTCTCCCTTAAACCGCCCTTGTCTCATATTTGAAAAATTATCACCGAAATCTAAAACTGTATAATATGGGTATTTAAATCTCGTGCTGCATTGTTTTGCAATTTGTCCACTGTGCCTCCACCCATGCCATTACAACTCACACTATATTGCGCTTAATTAATCCGAGTTGTAACATTTAGTCGTTTGTTGAAGCTTGAGTGATACGTGAAAATATAGCTGTGTACTAGTTTCGAAACCATAAGTACATGTCAACATGTAAAATGTCAATATGTAGAATGACGAGAACGAACAATCGCAACAACTTCCGTTGAAGCTTGTATAAATTCCGACATTCAACCGTTTCTGCGATGTTATGGATTATAGTTAAAACAAGAAAGTGTAGATAACAATAATCGTAAACACTTTTGTTGCGGAATACACTGCTACTTAATGTTCCTATAATGTTTGTGATATATTTTTTATGTTCGAAGACAATGTTTGTGTACATATATATCCTAGATGGTGAAAGAGCTCCTACTCATCATCAATATTTCATCAGTTCAAACGAACGAATGCAGGAATAAAAATAATCTAGCGCCTTCTTCAAATATATCCCATCATTTTAACTGTGTGAACGTCCAAATAACGAATAAAAATTTATAAAATCCCAAATAAAAATCTTGTTTACAAAATATCGATCTGTAGATCAGCAAGAATGTGTGATTAGATACATTGTATAGAAACTGAATAATGGTCGACCAGCCAAAAGATTGTAATGCAGGGGTTCACCAAAGGGGATAGGAACATTTGAATTTCCAAATTAATGGTTTCCTTCGTCTGCATAACAAAAGTTATTAAAATAACTTGCCCATAAAACAGGATCAACTACACATAACGCCAAACAATCCTATGTAAGTATGAGAGCTTTCTGTACTCCCAAAAATGGTATAAATCCCATAACTCCCGTAAAACAGTTCGGATCAAAATGACAGTATCATAAGGTCAACGACATAGGAAGGCAAACAATGGTGCCAAGTATGAGAGCTTTCTGTCAAATGGTTTTAGAGGAGTTGTGTTCACAAATTGACACTATTACAATCCTCCAAAAAGTCCAATAATTCTAGTAAAAATGGTTGGATTGAAATGGCAGTGCAATATGGTTAAATTCACACAATGGTTAACAATCCTACCAAGCATAAGCTTTCTGTCAAACTGAATCAGAGAAAATGCATTCACAAGGTTGCATTGTTACCAAAAAAAAATGGTCAAAGTCCCATTCCTCCCATCAAAATGATCACATCAAACTGACGATAAAGCATGGGAAAGATACTATGACGACAAATCAGCCGACTAAGTATGAAAGCCTAATGTCATATGGTTTTATGTGTTGATTTATTTTTTTGACGGGTGGATGGAGACCATCACTTTATACCAGGCTGCACGTTGGGCGGGGGATACAAATCAATATCCAAGTTATGTAAGCAAAGGTATGTAAACTAAGTATGTCTATGGTACATAAATTTAGTTCCGTAGTTAACATCGCATGCATTTTTTTATTGATACAGGTGAATGTCTGGATAATAGGCTTTCCGTGGTTAAGGAAAACAACATTCATGAAGAAAAACTACAGACCAGTGAGTTAACTGCCAATTATTAATTATATTTTAACCTATTTTGTGCTTTTAGACACGGCCATGATGTCACATATGGATAAGACGGTTCGCTTGTTTGGTACCGAAGGGAACCAGTCCCCTCGGGAGACTTCAATTACAATTAAGTAAAGTTCATCGAAACACTAGACATAAGTACTGTTTTAAATGGTCAAATAACAACAACCATAGGAACATAATATTACCAGATGTATGTCCTAGAGGATTCTTACCAGAACAGATCACTTACTAAACGTTCTCCTTTAGCAACACTAACAAAACACGGTTCTTTAAATAAGCTTCTGTTGTGGAAATTTTTTCAGATTTCATTATAATAAATGGGTTTTTTTTTGCAATGTACATATCTTTTTAAGAATTTTAAGATTATATATACATCACAAAAATACGCCACTGTTTGTGGTGTCCAGTACTGTCGATAATGGGAGATGTCCGTTGTTATTCTGCGGTTTGCATGTTGTAATGTACTATTATATTATTCATTTATGCTTTTCTCTGTGCTGAGTGTTCTTACGTTTGTTTGTACTGTATTCCTGTCACGTAATGTAGTCATTTTAGAGATATTTTTTAACATTGCCATATAGGCGGGAGGTTTGACGAGCCATCAAACCAGGTTCAACCCACCATTTTTTCTTAAAATGTCCGGTAACAAGTCAGGAATATGGCAGTTGTTATCAAATAGTTTGTTTCTATGTATATTGGCGTTTGTTTTTGTTGCAGTTTAGTGTTTCTGTTGTTCCGTTGTTTTCCTCTTATATTTGATGTGTTTCCCTCGGTTTTAGTTTGTAACCCGGATTGAACAGCGGTATACTACTGTTTCCTTTATTTAATATATTAATAAGATGTTTATATAAACCAGATGCAGGTTGTCGACATCAAACAGGTGGTAGTGAGATTCAACAAGAGAGGAATGGTAAGCAAAATAATGGACAAAAAGTTCATAAATATAACAAAATATATACGTGTGGTAGATTTGGTTCAACGTAGTCATAAATTCAAAAAGGACCCCGAAGATGAGCTAATGATACAAATTTTATTATACTAGTAAAGTTTCTCTTGAAAACACGGTTATTCAAAGCATTTTCCGTTACCCATAATTCTACATCTGAACTTTTACTGTTTCCGGATTTTTCCCTAATTAATATTCAAAAATTGTAAAATCGATTTTAAAACATTTACTTCTTAAATATGAAATGTCATGTAGATAAAAATTAATTGTGAAATGATACTTCATTCTTGGGAATAACAAACATTTAACAAATGCCTTTAATTTTATTTAGTTATGCTACAAAGTGTTTTTACTCTTGATTTAATTGTATTAGTGTTGATGAGACTTGTTTTTAAGGGGTTCTTGTTTTTCAATGGGATGGAGGTGGGGGTTGGTGTGTTGATCGAGTGTTACTGATGATTAATATACAAGAAGTGAATGTAAGGGATATACATCCATGAATCAGTATCATTCATTTGCATTTCTGTTGAATATAACATAGATAATTGCATTAAAAGATAGTCTCATATCTCTTTTAATGAGACGTCTAGTGCGGTTCGTTGTATTTATAAGTTCAATCCTTAGTTGTGTTTTTTTTGTTTGTATATGGTTGATATACAATCGACCTTATCATGGGTAATGTTTGGTAGATAGACCCATGTCAATTTTTCCCTTAAAAGGAACCTTACTTGGTTTTATTTTATGTTGATGCCAAAAACAATTTATACTGTATAAATAATTATCTACTACTTTCAAACTCTTCAAAATTCTTTCTATGTTCTAACATTTTTCGATATGAGACAAATGTATTTATAGAGAGAGACTATCATCACTATCAGTTTACGAGCTTTCAAATTTAGAACCAATTAAAATCAGAGGCCCCGAAAGCTATTTTAGTGTAATATGTTTTATGTAATCATTAAAAGAGAGGCGAATGATACCAAAAGGACATTCAAATTTATTAGTCGAAAATAACCTGCCAACGCCATGGCTAAAAAAGAAAAATGACCACCAGACAAACAATATAAACTGCGCATAAATGTTCTCTTATCAATCAGAGAAGCAAAGCCTCATTCGATTATACAATTAAAACATACAATTACTGAAATGCCTGTTTAATATTTACATGTATGTGTCATGCAGAGGATTGCCTTCCAAATAATTTGTTCGATCTATGCAAGTGATTTACCCTCTCTGATAGAAGTTAGCAAACATGATTATTTATTATGAAGCAAAAATCTTGAAATCTAATTGGTTAATTACCCGGGTTTGAAAAAACACCCCACTCCAGTTCACTCGGGAATAAAAAAAATATTTTGCCAATATTTAAAAAAGAAAGGGAAAAATAAACAAAACAAAACAAATAATGCCATTTACCAAACAATTTTGTCAAAATTAAAAAAAACAACATTTGTTTTGGCCAAAAGTAAAAATAAAGATAAAAGTTTTATAAATTAGAAAAAAAAGAAATTTCTCAACAAAATCCCCACCACCATCACCTTTAAAATTATACTCCTTCATATTTCACAAAATGTCTGGGAGAGAAAACGGGATGGAACCTGATCCCTATAACCAAAGATGACTTTATCAACTTCCAACCGAATTTCGATTTTAACCAAGTTAAGTCTCGTTTGGACTTTAACTATGTCATCCCGTTTTTGGGATCAGATGAGACTTTAAATAGTACAGGCCCTCAGTTTAATGTCAAAACGAGTAGAAGTAATATCCCTCATACTAACAAATGTTTAAACACAACTAAAGTTATATGTGCTAAGATTAGCTATCTGAAAACTTTGTTCATCAGACTCAATTGTCTTCTTGCAAAACTCAGAACAAGCTTAGCACTGGTTAGAAATAAAATACTTTATCAAATTATGTGTTTAGAAGACCTATACAAAGAGGTTGCTTTACACGAATTCCCTTTGTATAGCGTTTTTAATTATTTTTTCTCATTTAGTTCCTTTTAGGGACATTGATATTATAGTTATTTCAATTACAATAAGCGTCTTTTCGAAACATTATTGTAAACATAACATTTAGTGCGTACGTTAAATTAACATATTCCAGTTCATAAAATTCTTCCAGAGAACATCTTTAATACCAGATTTCAGAAAATGATTTGTTGAATCCTAATACATTTTCTCATTCTTTACTTCGTTGAACTTTTGTGTCTTAATAATCATTTAATCTTTGAATAATACTTTATATTAAACAGAGGCTGGTAGTCGAGATCAAGCAGGTTGTAGTGGGATTCAGCAAGAGAGCAGTGGTGGAGGTGCTCATGAAGAGATGAGTTGTAGAGTGGATCAATCAGAGGGGGTTGATGAGCCAAAGAAAGGAATAAAAGGTAGATAAATATAAAAAACAAAACAACATAATATACTAGATTAAGATCAATGGTTCGATTATTTCAAATAGGATCACCAGGTGGAACTTGGGGCAAATGATATCATACTAATACAGTTTTTCTTGAAAATACTGTTGTTCCATGCCTTTTCTACGTAAAAGATAATGCATATGTTAGGAAAGAATCACTGTTAGCATCAAAATCAGTTGGCCACGGCTATTTTCAGATTCCATTCATTGTATATAACTTTGTAGACTGGTCTATTAAATTATTTTTAAAAGTCACATTTTGAATAATAGTGTCTTTGATAACTATAGCAACCACATCAATAATTGTCAAAAGTAAACATGGTCAGTTTGATCAATATCAAACAATATCATATACTGGTTTAACCTGCCTGTGAAAAAAAACAAACTATACTGAACGATATTTAAAAACACCTTTATTGTTTAATTTTCCATTCAATTAACTTTCAAATGATATATTATAGTATTGAATTATCTGTCATCTGAATATTTAAAACAGTCGTCTTATACGAACGAAAACACTCTTTTAACAACTTACTGTAAATATGTGATTGGTGTTAAATATAAAGTGATTTGACTTTAACAATTTTATGTATTCAAGAATAATACTTGAATTGAAATAACTATTGAAGAAACTGGCAACAATAGTTCTCACATAAGAATAATCTAGCTTCCTTTTTTAAGCCGGTCCTTATTTGGGGCTTTTCAGGAAAGAGTTTAACTTTAACATCAATTGCAAACAGAAATTTCAGAATGTTGTAAACATAACACTACATTCCTGTATTATTAACATTTTGGTTTTCCACGTGCACGAAAAACAATGTGTGACAACTTTGAGCAAAGCACTCTATGTTGAAAAATTATATGACTACTATCACTATAGTGAGACCAAACATTGTCAATTGTGTCAAATTTACGGACACAGTTCAAGGTTCCAGCGGAACAGACTTGCATCAAGGTTAGGCTTTGCGGTAAAAAAAAAATCGATCGCTTCATAGTAAACATAATATATTTCTTGATGAGGAGATTAGATAGATAAGACATCCAACAGTACACAAAACACAACATAGAAAACTAAAGACTGAGCAACACGAACCCAACCAAAAACTGGGGATGATTTCAGGTGGTCCGGAAGGGTAAGCAGATCCTGCTCTACATATGGCACCCGTCGTGTTGCTCGTGTAATTTCAAACCCGAGATGAAATGAGACACAAATACTACAAAATGGAAACATAATGTTTGAAATAGACGAATTCCTTTTTTTCACGACAAATAAACTGACTCTTTCTAGGATATTAGAGAACATAAAAAGTATTTCAAATGAGGATCAATTGACAGCTCAGATTGAACAAAAAATAACAAATCCAAACACTTTTGGCATGCTTTAGTGGTCTACAGACGATTAAAAGTGTACCATTCAGATAAGATTTTCGTTTATGTTTCTTTAAAATTCTGACATAAAATTAATTTGATGTGCACCGACGAAATATGCAAAGACAAATGTATACCTGTTGCTCAGTCATTAGGTTTCTATGCTGTGTTTTGTGAAATGTTGTTTGTCTGATTGTCTTTTTCTTTTTTCCATCATGGCGTTGTTAGTTTATTTTCGACTTATGAATGTTCCTCTTGCTAAAACTTAAGTAATGATCATGTAAATAATCGTAGTGCAAGCTAAGATTAAAAAAAAAACAGTAAAAAATTAGACAAATCATACACACATACAGCATATTTGTGAATAGGCAAATACCTTGGTATAACTGACACTGGTTTTTTTTATTTGGTAGGAGTCATATTATGAAACTGACTTGTTTCTCTAATTCTAACACGATTTATCCCTTTCCTGACCTGTTGATTATTTTTATTTAATCAACGTGTGGTTCGTTTGATCTCAGTTCTTCATTGGTCAAAATTCGTTTATGACGTCAAATATTCTTGCTTTCCTCTGAAATTCCTATTGTGACGTCGTGAAAAAGGGCGACCATGCCTGATGACGTCACGTACAAAGAACGCCTCCTTTTGCAGGTCGTTCGAAAGGACGGATTAAGATTGTCTGCATGTCGTCTAAAAATTATTAGAGAAATAGATTCCACCACTAAATCTTGTGCAATACGACATTTATCCACTCTCGACAGTTAACGACTCGCGTTTTAAATTTGAAAATTTAACTGTCTCGAGTGGATAAATATCGTATCACATTCGATGCAGTGGTAGAATCTATATTTATATACTGTTCCATCCTTCAGCCAGTGCTAGATATACATTGTAATGTTTAATGCATTTTATTACTGCAATCCAACATTAAGAACAAACAGAAGTAAATCTTGCTTGATGCAAAAGAAATTGTATGCTAACTACCAGTCATTTGACAGTGATCAAACAGGCATAGCAACGCTAAATGCATAAAGGAATATTTAATGGTATTTGTTTTCTTCTTTATGGATTTTAGCTTTTAAAAGTTTTAAGATGAATGATAAAATGTCTTTTTGCATAGATGATAACCTGACGAAATCGGATTCATCGTTCGAGGATCTGTTGATTTGGGCAATATTGGTAAACAGACCAAAACTAGCAACTATATTTTGGATGAAATGCAACAATCAGCTATGCAAGTATTGAATAAGGATTCATATAAGAGAGACAGCGATTATTCATATAATACAAGTAACACTTTGAATACAAATTTGGAACAATATCTAATAGGTCGTCATTATTGATTTTCATTAAACAAAAGAGTTTTCAAGTTTTAAATTATGATTTTTTTTTTTTTGGCAGAAATAGAGAAAAGATACCTAGCGTTAAAAAATTATCAACGACATAGTAAAATTAAATTTGATTGTAGAGTCTTCCTCTTGCATGTTTAATATTTGATTTTGCTCTTAAAGCAATGCCGCGTAGATGTTCATGCGATGCATTATTGTGAGTTGTAGAAAAGTATGATAATAATGTACTTCATTTTCATTTTAAAGATTGGCCCAACCCTGAAGTGTCAAAAGTACGTTTTTTTTAAATATTGTTTTTTTATACAATAAACCATTATCCGATAAATATGGATTTAAAAATCAGGAAATATAGGAATGAAATCCGTTCGTATATGTTCTCTAACAGAGTTATGAGGACGAACGACTGAAATCGACACTACGTTTTACGGTCACCATCACAAACTGGTTGACTAATACGATCAATGTGCATATATCTCAACTCACAAGCAATGTGTTTTGGTTGTCTTAGGTTTTGAGATGAAAACATAGTTTTCTAGCATGTAAATTAATCGATTATGTCCTATTTTGTTTTCTGAAAATAGATTCATAAGATACCAAATGGACATTCAAAATCATAAGTGGAGACAAACTGAAAACCCCATGCCAACACAATATTGAAAAATGATGAAAAGACAAACAACTGTCTGCAAAACACACCATAGAAAAACAAAAACTGAGCAACACGATCCCGAAAACACCAATGCTCCGGAAGGGTAAGCAGATGCTTCTTTACATGTGGCACCCGTAAAGCTTCTCGTATAAGTACAAATTCGGTGAAAACTCTTCGGTGATGTCGTTTTTGAGGAAAAGAAGACGGAATTGTGGTTACGACAATTAGAACATATCTGCTGTCATGATGTCCCATAACGGTGAACCAACTCATATTGGCAAATTTTCAAAAGGGTGACTTCACTTCTACCACTTGTACCCCTTGATTTTGATAGTGCTCTTGTAAGCAGCAATTCTATGCCAAGGAAATCATGATAGGAAAAGCAAGCTCTGAAATATTGTTTCAACTGGGAGTTGAGTGTGGATTCGCACAGCGGTTGATACATGCGTAGCAGAAGACGCTTATCCCGTCCAGCTTCTTTTGGGCTTTATGCGGTTCCTCAAATTTTCTTTGTGTACCTTAATTTGAATCATTTGAATGGACTTAGAAGGCAAAACTTTTCGAAATTTGTTATCCTCAATACTCCTTTACTTCGTATTTGTTTTGAAATATTTAACTTTTTGATTCGATCGTCACGAATGAGTTTTTTGTAGACGAAACGCGCATCTGGTGTGCATAATTGTTTAAGCCTGGTCTATATGATGAGTTTATTTTGAACAGGGTTATTTCAGTAAGCTCGAATTTATAGACCTAAGAGGAGATGTAGGTGTTCTTGTCGATGTGTTTTTGTCGCCTGATATTTTTCTTATTAAATTGTAGTGTGTGCTCTATTAGCAAGCTGTGTGTACAAGAAAATGGCGTACAAAGTGAAAAGTGCAAGGGATCAGTCATTTTATGAAGAAATGATGAAACAGTCTAGGTATATTTTTTTTCAAAACGTCGAAGCAGACTTTTGTATGTAAAGAAACAAATATTAATTATCAAATATCGCAAAATGTATTTTAAGCAACTGATAATCTAACGGCATTTTTTGTGTTAATTTCTTTATACTATAATGATTATAGTTCTTGAAATGCTCATCCACGTTGGCTAGAAGTATAGGGTAGGGTTGAGAACTCACAAAACATGTTTAACCTCGCCGAATTTTTGCGACTGTCCCAAGTCAGGAACCTTTGGCCTTTGTTAGTTTTGTATGTTTTATAAATTTTGGTTCATTTATATGTTTCGGTGCTTAGTGTAACAATTTTTGCTGAAATAGTATACATTATTGTTTAGGAGCCAGCTGAAGCCTATCTCCGGGTACTAGACTCAAGCTAGCAGCCACTTTTAGCAGCCAATCAATTTAGCAGCCACTTTTTCCCAGCAGCCAATTTTGATGATATGTCTAAAAACCCAAAAACTATATCGGAGTCAAACGTTCCAAAAATCTCAAAATCTAAGTTAAATGTAATTTAACTGCGGAATTCGACAATTTCACGGCTTGTAGTGATTCTCAAAGGCTTTCAGTCCGTTTTAAATACCAATAATGATAGCAGCCACTTTTTTTCGAAATTCTAGCTACCAATACGATATATATTGTTTTTTTACGTCTAAATGACCAGAGATGTTCAGCCTTAGAAGTCAATGTTGGATAAACCAACTCCAATGACGTCAGTAACTGAAAGCACTTACTATCCTGATTTCTAAATCCCGGAAATTGTTTTATGACCCCTTTAAGCTGTCGTAAATTCTCGTTGTCCTCGAATATAAACCCTTATGTCAGTTGCATAATTCTTTATATAAAATATAGTTTTATCAATAAAACAAAATTTAAGATGTATTTTATATGCAATATTTCTTCAATCAATAAAAAAAATATCCTTAGGGCTAGAAACATCTAAAAATTATAAATATAAATATTTATGGAAAGCCCCCCTCCTCCCCCAAAGAATGTATAGTGAAAAACTTCCAAATTTGAACGCCAACAATTTTCGAATGGGCCTAACTCCCAAAAAATCATTCCAGTGTAGCCATCCCAAAGTTATTACCTTTCATTTGAGCCAGTCCGGTGGCGAACTTTACCGTACGGAGCTGGCGAGGCTTACCGAAAGAATGTAGGTTGTATACGTATTTTTTTCCTTAACAGCAACTTTGAACCCCAACAATTTTCTAATGGGCCTAACTCCCAGAAAATCATTCCAGTGTGGCCGTCCCCAAGATATTACCTTTCATTTCAGCCATGTCCGGTGGAGAACTTTACCGTACGGAGCTGGCGAGGCTTACCGAAAGAATGTAGGTTGTATACGTATTTATTTCCTTAACAGCAACTTTGAACCCCAACAATTTTCGAATAGGCCTAACTCCCAAAAAATCATTCCAGTGTGGCCATCCCCAAGTTATTACCTTTCATTTGAGCCATGTCCGGTGGCGAACTTTACCGTACGGAGCTGGCGAGGCTTACCGAAAGAATGTAGGTTGTATACGTATTTTTTTCCTTAACAGCAACTTTGAACCCCAACAATTTTCGAATTGGCCTAACTCCCAAAAAATCATTCGAGTGTGGCCGTCCCCAAGTTATTACCTTTCATTTCAGCCATGTCCGGTGGAGAACTTTACCGTACGGAGCTGGCGAGGCTTACCGAAAGAATGTAGGTTGTATACGTAATATTTTCCTTAACAGCAACTTTGAACCCCAACAATTTTCGAATGGGCCTAACTCCCAAATAATCATTCCAGTGTGGCCATCCCCAAGTTATTACCTTTCATTTGACCCATGTCCGGTAGCAAACCTTGCCGTACGAAGCTGGCAAGGCTTACCGAAAGAGTGTAATGTGGAGACGTATTTTTTTTCTATAACAACAACTTTGAAAATCTACAAATACTGGATGGGCTTAACTCCCCAAAACACATTTCAGTGGGGCCTTCCCCAAGCTGTTAACTTTCATTTGAGCCATGTCCGGTGGCGAACGTTGCCGTAGGGAACTGTACATAAAAACTGAAAAATGTGGCTATACTCATAATTGATAGTTAACTCATTCTTTGGGCGACTAGTGAAGTCATCATGTGCATTTTCCAACCCAGGTCTTCATATGTGTTGAAGATATGGATAGTAGTTTTCAATCTAACCACCTGTGGTGAAAAACTTTGCAATAGTGAAGAAATTGAAGAAGTTGACATATACGAGTTAGAGATACAGATTGGTATCACGAACATTGAGAAGTACATCTCAAAGAAGTAAGTCTGTCTAAAAATCAATCCGCATTAAACCCTCAAGCACCAAACTTCATATGCACTAACCCCAGCGTGCAAGAACATTAAAATCAACTCAGAACAAATTGCCTAAAATCAATCTACCTACTTTTGGCGGAAATAAACTAGAATGATCAACTTTTTGGGATACATATAATTCGGCCGTACATGATAATCCTTCATTGAGTGACGTACAAAGATTAAACTATCTGAAATCGCAACTTTACGGAAAAATTAGCCAGTGTATATCGGGAATGCAAATTTCTAGTACAAATTATAAACAAGCAATACAAATTCTACACGAGATTGTGGCCAACAACACAAAATTGTATACGCATACATGCAAAACGTAATAAATTTGCCTTCACCAACGCCCAGAACTAAAGGACTAAAATCGTTCACTGACACGATGGAAAGTTATATACGTGAACTAGAAGGAATCGGTCAATATCAAGAATCGTCTCGAAGCCAATTAATACCACTAATACTCAACAAATTTCCAAATTTAGTCAGACAAAACATTACTCGAGACCACGGTGATGATGATTGGGATATCTCAAGTTTACGCAAAGCAATAAAGTAAGAAATTTGTATACAAGAGGCCGCTAATGCCAATCATATTGAAACCGACACTATCTCAACCACATCGATCGTTGGAAACAGAAACTACAAATACAAGATGGAGGTCAACATGGTCTAAAGATAGTAACGACAAATGTACATTTAAGACAAAAAGACCGTGTTTGTTTTGTCAAACCACGTATTACCCAAATGAATGTAAATATCACTGATATAAACGGCCGCACAAAAATTGTCCAGGAAAAAAAGAGTTTGCTTTAACAGTTTCGGTAATCATAAGGTTTCGGAATGTAAGTCACAATATAGTTGCTGATGAGTTAGACACATCATAGTAGCATTTGCCGTAATAATTTACAAAATAGAAATTCCACTTCGAATGAAGATAAAGCATAATAATACGTATTTTTTTCCTTAACAGCAACTTTGAACCCCAACAATTTTCGAATTGGCCTAACTCCCAA